TTTTATGTAATTTTTATTTGCGAAACATTTATGTATTGGCTATACTATGTATATAAAACCACACTTTTATTTATGTTGTTGCAAAGTATCATAATCATGGAGTTTGTAACACGTATTATATTTAGGGTATGATAATACTACCTCAATATATTCGTTTAATTTCATTTGGTTGTATCGCGGGGAAATAACGAACGATCTTAGTGGGGTAATCGCGAACACTTATTGTATTCAAAGTATTCTAGTCATAGCCATGATAATAAATAGGAACTAAATTTCCTATTTATTATCATGGCTATGACTAATAACTTTGAATCCTTTTTTTTAAATTTATATGAAACAAATCTCTTTTCTTCAGAAGAATACCTAGACCCTGAAAATAATTTTTATCGCAGTATTTTATCCGATTGTTCTCATCTTTTTCCAAACCAACTGGAAGGGTTCCTTTTTAAGAATGCTCGCGAAAAAAGTAATAACCATATTGTAATTCTCCACCTCAATATAAGAAATTTGAAATGCAATTTTGAAAAACTTTTAAATCTATTAGAAGAAACTAAACACACTTTTAATATGATTTGTTTAACTGAAACTTGGATCACAGAAGATGAAATAAGTAGTAATTTTGATATTTCTCATTTTAATACTATTTCTATGGAGAGAAAAACAAATAAGCGCAGCGGTGGTGTATTGATTTATGTTCACGAAAATTTTGAGTATTGTTTCAGGAATAATTTGAGCGTTTCTGACTGCGATAAAGAAATTGTAATTATAGAAATTACAAACAATCAAACTAAAAACATTTTATTAAGCTGTTGTTATCGGCTACCAGACGGCGTGAGCGAAAACCTGAGCATGTTCTTACAACAAATTATTAAAAAAAGAATTAATGATAAAAAAGAAAACTATATAGTCGGAGACTTAAATATGAACTGTTTTCTCTATAATGACGACCAAAAAATTAAGAATTTTTATGATGCAATTTTTGAAACAGGGTCAGTTACTTTAATAAATCGACCCACTAGAGTAACAATAAACACAGCAACTCTTATAGATAATATTATAACTACTGATATTTTTAATATACAAATAGGTATCATAAAAACTGACATATCGGATCATTTCCCTCTATTCTTAAAACTTAATAAAACAAACCTAGAAAGAAACATTAATATAAAAAAAAATAAGAAGAAAACGCATTTATAATGAGGCTAATATTAAATTATTTAAAGAACAAATATCATTACTACTTTGGAAAAACATAAATTTTGATGATAACGCAAATAATATTTATGAAACTTTTTTCAAAACATTTTTTTTTTTTTGTATATGAAGTTAATTTCCCAATAGTAGAAAAAACAATAACAACTAAGAATATCAATACACTAAAGGTTTTAAAAAATCATCCAGAATAAAACAAAAGTAATACATAAATTTTTTAAAAACAAAAACAGCTTCAAGCGAAAAAAATTATTCAATACATTTAAAAACGACACAAAGCGCACGTGGCAAATAATGAAAGAAATTATTGGCAAAAATTAACCATGCTCCGGTTTTCTGCCACAAATGGTTAGAGTCGATAACAAAAGTTTATATGAACCAAAAACTATAGCTCAAGAATTTAACAAATATTTCAATCATACAGGACCAACACTGTCTGAAAAAATCCCTAAGACCAAATCTTTGTTTACTGACTATCTAGAACCCCTGGATAATTACATTTGTTCAGATGAGTTATCTTCCAAATTAATATTTGATGAGTTTGAAAGAGCCTTTAAATCTGTTTAAAAAAATAAAGCAATTGGAGCAGATCAAATTAATGGAAACGTGGTTTTAGATTGCTTTGAACAACTTAAAGTTGTTCTTTTTAAAATCTTTAGGGCTTCTATCCATCAAGGAGTACTCCCAGAACAATTAAAAATTGCAAAAATTATTCCTTTTTTTAAAGAAGGGGACAAATCTGAAATCAGTAATTATCGCCCTATCTCTGTTCTCTCCACATTTTCGAAAATTTTAGAAAAAATTATGTTTAACAGAATATACAAATATTTTCATGATAATAATCTACTTTACATCCATCAATTTGGTTTCAAGAAAAATATCTCAACTGAACATGCAATTATCCAATTTGTACGTGAAATCTCAAAATCATTCGAAAAATCACAATATACACTAGGAATTTTTATTGACCTATCAAAAGCTTTTGATACGGTCGATCACAATATTTTAATTTATAAACTCAAATACTACGGAATAAAAAATAAAATTTTAAAATGGTTTAAAAGTTATCTATCTAACCGAAAGCAATTTGTACCATTTAACAATGATTACCAACCCTCTTTTCTTTATATAACCTGTGGAGTCCCACAAGGTTCAATTCTTGGACCTCTTCTTTTTTTAATTTATATAAATGACTTAAATAAAGCTTCAAAACTAACAAGCATTATGTATGCACATGATACAAATTTATTCCTATCTAACTATGATATCGATGAACTTTTTAAAATAGTGAACAAAGAACTCAGACACATATCTAATTGGTTCAAGTGTGATAAGTTAACCTTAAATACTAATAAAAATAAAATGGGTTTTATTTCATTCGATTACAAAAAAGCGATTTCTCCCATCAAAATTACCTTAAATCTTTATCAATCAAAAGGAAATAAAAAAAGATTTTGTTAAAAAATTTTTAGGTGTTTATCTTGATGAAAACATTACTTGGAATCACCATATTGATTATATAAGCACAAAAATTTCTAAAAACATGGGCATCCTATATAAATCACGAATCTATCTCAATAAGAAAGTTTTAATCCAACTTTATTATTCATTTATACATAGTTATTTAAATTATGCCAATATTGCTTGGGGAAGTACAGAAAAAAGTAAGTTGCAACGTCTTTATCTCCGTCAGAAACGCGCAATTCGTATAATCAATTTTGCAAATCGCTTCTCACATTCGAAGTATTATTTTATTGAAATGAGAACTCTGAATATTTACGAGTTAAATGTATTTAATATTTTATGTTTTGTGTATATGTGGATAAATAACTTATCCCTAGCTGTATTCAAAGATCTTTTCTCTTTTAAACCAGTCAGTAAATATATTTTGAGAAATAATAACTTTTTAAATGAGCTTTTCTGTTAAACAAACTTTAATCAATTTTGTATTACCTATCGAGCGCCACACCTTTGGAATAAAATTGTTTTGGCAAATTTTAATTTTGAAATATCTATTACTTTTTGCCTTTTTAAAAAAAAACTGAAAAACCTCATTTTTTCATTGGATAATATATTGAGTTATTATTAGTAGTAAAAGTTAAAAATATATATATATATATTTTTGTTTATAGAAGTTTATTCCTACTTATTTTATTTATTGTTCTTATACTTTTTACTTTTTAATTTATATGTTGGTTTACTCTTGTATAAAAATCTGATGAGAAGATCCTTTTGATCTTTCTTCAGACACAGGTTGTTTGCATTGCAATTTTGTAAAAGTTTATTAATTTTTTTTTTCTATCTTATATTTGTTAAATGTTTTTTTTAAGGTTTTGACGACAAGATCCTTGCGATCTTCTTTTAGATACTTTGTTTATGTTTGTTATGTTTTATGCCATTGTAAGTTTATATTATTATTTTTATTATGGGCTGTACAACGATTAACAAATGTAAACCAAAAAAAAAAAAAAGTCAATTTTTTCATATTTGAAGTGATGGTAGTTGTTTATTTAGGAAGCATTTTGTAAAGCAAAGTGGTTTTAGTTTACTTTTTTTGCTCTAGCAATCGGTATATTCATAGTTCAAGCGGAACTTATAATTTTAAAAAACAATGGAAAAGGATTTTTAAGATGTTACAACAAAAAAATTCTGACAGCAACAAAATATTTGCAGTAAAATTTACATTAGTTTTTAATTTTGTCTCATTTATCTAAAAAAAGTTAATCTTCAGACTTAGACCACTCTCTCTTTCACCTGCCCATAAAAAGCTCTTAAAGTTAAACCTATTTTTTTGTGGCGATCTTTTTGTGATGAATCTTTAGAATGCTCACGAAATTTAAAACATATCTACAAAATCCGATCTTGATCAGAAATCAACTTTATCAATTTTTTACCCAAACCATATTATTTTGAAAATAAAAACTTAAAATTTTAAACAATATAATAATACTTTGTAAAAGACACGCATAAAATCCGAGAAATAAAAAACATTAAGTATGGATTAATTAAGCCTCAGATTGTTAACATAGCATACCTCAGAAATTCTTAGTAAAGATTATGCTTTTAATTATGCCTTTAATCTTCGCTATGTAATCATAACCTAAGATTCTCTAATGGCTTTCAATAATTCTAAATATTTGCTACTGGTTATCTTATCACAATCAAACTGATCGTTGTACAACGTTTGTTGTAACTGATCGTTGTAACAACGGTCGTTGTAACTGATCGTTGTACAATGGTCAACTTTAATTTTATTTAACAATAAAAATTCTATTCTATATAGATTTATTCTTTTAGCCACCCAAATATTGTGAAAAATTTGCAAATAGTATATAATAAAAACATAAATGATTGCATAATAACACATGTAAACTTAATAACACAACTTATAATTTGGAAAAATTGTTAAGTAGATATTTTTCAATTTGTAAATGAGATATTTTACATCTTATTTATAAATTGAAATAAGATAGTTGAAATAAGATAATTATTTATGCAATTTGTAGAAGTTAATGAAATATGTTATTGAATATTGTTGTTAATTTTATATTCCTTAAGCTCCGGATTTTTTATGCAAATACTTTAAAACTTCGGCTTTAATTTTTGTGGCGGGTTCTAAAAAGTTACCTATTATTGTAAAGAATACCGAATGAATGGAGGTTGTGAGTTATCAATGGAGGTTGTGAGTCATCAATGGAGGTTGTGAGTTATCAATGGAGGTTGTAAATTATCTATTATCTTAAAAAATCAAACTGAAAAAACACCTATGGTTTTAAACGCACTTATACAATAAAACAAATAAAATATTATTTTTATGAACAATTATTACAAGCCGTTATTTAAATACAGTTTCTATATTAACACAATAATTAAATATCCAAAAATACTTCTTTGATAAATTGTCTTTAGTCGAAGTAATTCGACGAATTTTTTTGTAGCATAACAAAATTAATAGTATCTGACATCTCCTAAAAAAATTAATTAAAAAATGAATGTTAAAATAAAAGTATAGCACCATTTTTAAAGTATTTTTACAACTATTTTGTAAAATGCACTTTTTTAAATAAATAACTTGAAAATTGTGGCAGATCTAAAATCACTTTTTTTATATGTGCATAAATAACCCTTAAATAATTTTGAAAGTTCCTAAAAAAAAGTGAATTTAATAAAAATAGGACATATCTGGAAAAAGCTGAAGGTTTGGTGGAGTCATATGTTCCCAACAATGTTAAAACAGAATTCGGAGGGTTTTTTGCTATTTCTTTGTTTTGGGTTAGTTATTGTGTATCTAATGGAAAAGAGAACGGTTGCAAGAAAAATATTGAAAGATTATAAATTATTCCGCCGGGTGTGTAAAGAAGACAGAAACCCCAAATATATACATGAATGGACTAAATGGACAACAGACTTTAACAACAGAACGGTGACTAATGCATACTATATTTAAGCAAAAAGTGCCCTATATAAAATAAAAGTTGAACAACAACTTGGTGTGATAATGACTTCGGAAAACAGGCAATTAATTAAGACAATTGCTATGAAAAATTTAAAGCTACTACTGTGTGTAAAAAATATTTACAGTGTCAAGAAACCTCTTATGTATTATGAGAATTCCATTCTGATTAAAAAAAATGGAGAAATACGTACAATGTGATATAGTAACAACCAAAAATACTATAACTTGTTGACAGAGTTCTATATTAGGACATTAACTTTTCCTACTATACATAAATGATTTAACTTCAAATTCAAACTTATTAAATCTTATTTTATTTGCAGAGGGCTCCAACCTTTTTTTTTTTTTTTTTTATAAAAATATTGAAACACTTTTTTAAATAGTTAATGAAGAACTAAATAAAGTCTCTGAATGTACACCCACAAACCGAGCAATAAAAAAGAAATACCATTCTACCTAATCTCCTGATTAACAAAACTAACATTTAGTAGCCAATACCCGTTAATTTTTTAGGAATGAATTTGGATAAAAATTTATTACGAAAGTAACATATAAAATCTCAAAAAACATTGGCATGATCTATAGAGCAAAAACATTTTTAAATTTTAGGTCCTTAAAAAAATTATATTTTTCTTTCATACATAGTTATTTAACTTACGGAAACATCGTATGGACAAGTACTAATCACCCTAATTTAAGATCACTGTACAGCAAGCAAAAACATGCATTTTGAATCGTATTTGGAGCTGGTTGAGCTATACCCTGTAAACCTCTTTTACGTTTACTTGGTACCTTAACTTCTTTCAAACTTAACATCCATCTAGTTTTACAGTTCATTCATTAAACAAAATATTGACTGTCTCCAAAAAAAATTTTAACTTATTTTGAAGAAATACACCATAAGTATGCTACAAGATTTTTCATAAACTACTTTGCTGCACGAAAATTTTGTTCTAAACTGAGTTCTTATTGAATTCAGAATTGCGAATCATTTTTGTGGAAAGGCTTTACAAACATTGTTTCCGAGAAGAATATTTCTCTTAATCAGTTTAAAGTCAAAATGGTATTTTTTATACACAAATTTAGATTTATTATTAAGATAAAATCATTAAAAACGCTAACCTTGAATTTATTGGGTAATAATTTAACCTTAAATTATTACCCAATAAACTCAAAAACAAGAACTAAATGATTACTGACAATCATTATTATCATGATTATCATGAATCACTTTTTTTTTGTTCTTTTTTTTTTTGTTTTTTTGTTGTTTTTTTATATTTTATTTTATTTATTTATGGATTTATCTACTAAAAAAAATTAACTAACATAAAGTTAAAAAATTAATTAATATAAAAGTAATCAGGTGCACAGTGCATTGCCAAAATATAAAGTCAAAATGATTTTAATGTAGATGAAAACAAGATTTTGAAGTTTTTAGCGCATTTAATTCTGGGCGTGGATCAAGCATGTGAACGAGTTTTCATAAACAGAAGAGTGTGCAGAAGCTAATACCAATTCCTTTTTATATCTATTGCTAAGTAATTATTGGCAAGCTACACATTTTATTCCTCCTTATTATGAATATACCCAGTGGATGGATGCAAAAGGAGTTGATCATGCTGAATTCAAAGGTGAATTTTGTCGTTTTAACATACATTGACAAAGAATGGTTTGGATACTTACCAAAATTACAAAGAGATGGGCAAAATAATAACTTTTCCATTGGTTGCGTTCATTAAAATTAATGACAAATCTCCACAATCGGTGTACCACCGCAGTTGGACCAAGAGTATTTTAAACAATGACTACTAGAAATTGTCAAGAGGCAAAGGGAACTGACAAATTCGAACAATGGAAAAGATCGCTCATTGGCAGCCATTGTATTCAAAGTCATTGGACGTCTCAGCGACATGTAGGGGAAATAAATAAAATTTGGGTCGCAATGGGTGAAATTATCCAGCTACAAGAAACTAATGAATATGCCCCTCTCACAAACTTAGGATGTGAGTTCAAATTTGCGAAACTGGAAAACCGAATATCGTTCAGTAGTGGATCAACATCCATTGCAACACATTTTAGAAAAAACATCGTCGCGACTAACAAATTTTTAAGTGGATTCATCTTTCACAGAAATCAGTGAACTTTTCAATGAAAAAATGAAAGTGGGAATTTTATAGAAACTTTGAAATTGCAGAGAAAATTAGAATTATTGAAGAAAACTTGAAAATAGAGCAATAAGAACTCTAAAACTACTAGAAACGTGTAAAGAGAACGTGTAAAGGGAACGGTGAATCTTTTACAGAGAAATGTTTGAAAAAACTAAACAAATTAACAGAGAAGGAACTGCTTGCTGAAAATTGATATTTGAGAGCAACAATTAATCCGGATATTTATCAGAAAAGAATAGTGAAAATAGATGTTAAAACCAAAATGATGAAATTCACAATTGAAAAACAGACTCAGAGTCAGGGACGGATCCAGCATTTTTTGGTCTTTGAGATTGCTAACTTCAGACATGAAGCTAGCTCCAAACATTTATATGTTTATACTTACGTCAAACAAAGATGCTTCGTAAAAAGTTGCGATGATTGGAGCCTGAGAATAAAAAAGCCCTAAAAAATCCCCTCCCTCTCTTGCTTCAAACGTGAGGGCAACAAGTTAATATAATATATTTTGTACTTGTATTCTCAATTAGACTTGTATTCATCAATAAATTTTAAGTTTTATAGTATAATTTCTTAATGTTCAAAAATTATGAACATTGATCATATAAATTGTGAAATCTCCTTAAATTAAGGGAGGGGGGGGGTGTAAACTTTAAATGGTCATAATTTTTGAACGCTAAATTACTTTACTATGAAATTTAAAATTTATCAGAAAATATAAATTTAGTTGAGAATAGTACAAAAAATATTATACCAACTAGTTACTCTCACAATTGGGGCAGGGAAGAAGGGATTTTTTTGTTACCAGGCTTTATTCATTGCAACTTTTTAAAAAGCGTCCTTTTTGACATTAGTTTAAACATATAAACGTTTAGTGTTTGCTCCATGTCTAGAAGTTAGCTCAAAGACCAAAAAATGTTGGATCCGCCCCTGCTCATAGTCTCGATAAATAATGTAGTGAAACCAGAAAAAGATATTATTGTTAGAAAATGATTTTATTGTCAGCTAATTATTGGTTCTTCAAACAGTTAAAACAGTTATAATTATATTCACGATTTTTTATACAAAAAATTGTTGAAATGGCGGAATCGATTATTTTAATTAAACTTAATGATGATTAAATTATTTTATTAAAAATATTAAAAAAAACTAAAAAATACAAATTAATTTGTATTAATTTTTTTCAAATTTAACGATAAACAAATGTAAATGTAAATAAACAAATATTTTCTTAAGATAAATTATTATCTGTGTCTTAAAAAACAACAACTTTTTAAAGTTCTTATATATACTATCTAAATGTGCTTTGTTTATTAAAATAACACTGGATTTGAAATATTTTAATTAAAAAATATTTTAAAGGGTCCCCAAGACCTTTGACTCCAAGACCCTAGAATATTTAACTTGAGTCTCTAATATTATCAAAGAAAAAAAAAGGTTTTTTAAAATTGTACTATGTTGGATCTCAATTTAATTTTTAAAAGTGTACTATGTTGGATCTCAATTGAAGCAAAATTATATAAAAAATTCAAAAATAGTACTTATATAAAAACTAATATGTTAGATCTAAAAGCATTAAAACTGATGTTTGTAAAAAAAATAAAAGTTTTTCAATAAGTTATTTATAATATAATTATCATGTTCTATTTGAAGTCCATACACACAATATACTTTGATAAAAAAAAAAAAAAATGATAATATTAGGGGACTTCTAAAAATTTTTAATTAAAAAAATTTTAATTCCATTTTTTAATTAAAAATTATTTTTTAATTAAAAAAATTATATTTTTTTAATTAAAAAAATTATATTTTTTTAATTAAAAAAATTTTAATTCCAGTGTTATTTTAAAATATAGAACACATTTAGGTAGGGTAGAGGGGGTGGGGTAGAGCGATGCTAGCTGAGAAATTTTTGCTAAATCTAACAGATCTTTTTTTTTTTAATTTTTATTTAGGTGCCCCAAGAAGCCCTTACGGTCTTATCACAGAGCACTGCAGATGAGCATTTAATAGAAAATTTAGGCCTCCTTTCTAACCGATGTTGCAAAACTTGCACAGAGGCGGGAGTTTAAACTGCGGATCTTTTGCTTCTGAGGCTAGTGCGCCATCACTGCGCTACGGCTACTCTACCACTGCACCACGGCTGCTTAATTATGAACGTTGCGTTGGATTTACATTTTTTTAACTGTTGGAAAAATAATTTAACTTGCTAAAAATTGGTTAAAAAAGAGTATGTTTTTAGGTTCGTTTGAGAAATATTGTCTAAATTTTAACGAGCTTTTTACCTCCAACAGGGTAAGTTAACAACTGTGTGGGGTAAGTTGAGCAACTGTGTGGGGTAAGTTGAGAAATCAACAAAAAAATGAATATGCGTTATATGAAACTTGGTTAAATCAGCAATAAAACTTTCGTTAACAGTAAGCGTGTTTAGAAATTATAAACTTTTTATTTACTTTAATGACGTAAGAGAAGTCTGATAAATTTGTAAAATATCAACACTTAAATGGTGGCAGATAAAAAAAAATTTATAAGCATTTAAGAGAAAAACAATAACTTTTTTTTTTAAACTTCTTTGGTTTGCAATAGAAAAAGTGCCCGTGCATCTTACTTGTTTGCCGTTCAACAACCTTTAGTTACGCATTCTATTTCTTTAACTTTCATCCGTTAGATGCTTTTGTCATGCAATGCGTAATTTAAAGATATTTTAATTGCCCGACCTTTCTCTATGCTCAATTGGTCTCGCTCTACCTTATTATGTATAGGCATTTAGAAAAATTGTTGTTTTTTTAGAACATCCTAATTAGTACTAACCTAAAGATCTCCTTCCGTTTTTTAGTTGATTCAATTCTTCGTTGATTTCTATTTTGGCTGAATCAGTTTTTTCGGAAGACATGTCTTTTTCATATTGTTCAAGCAAACTTTGTGTTCGTAAGGATATTCGACGACCTTTCAATAAAACGGGTGCTGCAACTTGTTTTAGCTCATAAAGTGATGTTCTTCGTTTAGGTGTTGGACTGGTGACGTTTTCCGTTATAGCTTCATTTTCATTTGTTGATTCTGGTAATGGATTGTTGACGTATGAAGATAACTGTTGCGAGCTAATATTTTCTTTGGGCGAAGAATGCCTTCGCGTTTTAAATGGTTCGTTTGACGCAGTCATTTTTGATAGACAACTTTGATTGGCGTTGAATTGGCGTTGTTTCTCCTCATAAAATTCTCTATTATTTGTCGATATTGATGAAGAAGATTCATTCAAAGCTTTTTCTAAAAAAATACTAATTAAAAAAAAAAAAAATCATTTACATCAAATGTTTAAAGCAACCACAGAATCAAATAGTTCCTAATAAATACACAACTTCCAAAAAAATATAATTTACATCAAATGCTTAAAACCAACCGCAGCTATTAAAGAGCTAACGTCCCGATAAGGAGAAAACTCAAAAGTTTGTTTTGTTATATCTGTAACCCCACAAATTGAAGGGGTTCAAATTTTATACAAACATAATTTACAAAAGCTAAGAGATTATGATAAATTTTATATAGACATAATTTATGAACGTTCATGAGGTTATTATGGTATAAAATTTATTATAAAATCTAATAAAATTTTTAAAATTAATTTCAATTAATTTTATTTCAGAGGAAATATTTTTAATTGTAAAGAATTTTGAGCTGTATTCAATTCGAGCAATATACATACTCTGATAAAAACTTTTTTAGATTTTAAAGAAACTATATTTAATCAAAAAAATATATATTTCATCAAACCCATTTTAATTAAAAGAACGCTTAATTCAAAAATAAACCATTGATAACAAATAAAAAAACAATTAATAAAAATTTTTTTATTGTGAAAATATTGAGAGGATCTGGAGATTGAGTTGTCACTTGTGAGACATTTTTTTTTGGTGCAATAAAACTCGATGCTTGTTACATATCGTTTTAATATGCATGTTACACAAAATCCAACCTTGCTTTTAAATTTTTATACTAATATCTTTACTCTAATCATAAAGTCAGTTTTAATTCTTGACTTGGTTTGCTGCTGTTGTTGTTAGAACTGCTGCTTTTACTTAGTTTATTTACTGCTCCTCATCAAGTTAAATTTACGTTGTTTCCTAGTTTACGTTGCTGCCTTTTTGCTTTCAGCATCTTTCAATGTTTTTCAACATTAAAAGATGTTGAAATATTATTGATTTTATTTTAATGCTTCGGATTTATTGAAACATTTCTCTTGGAATCTTCTCATGTCTACATTATTTCTCTTGGAATCTTCTCATGTCTACATTCTTTCTCTTGGAATCTTCTCATGTCTACATTCTTTCTCTTGGAATCTTCTCATGTCTACATTCTTTCTCTTGGAATCTTCTCATGTCTACATTCTTTCTCTTGGAATCTTCTCATGTCTACATTCTTTCTTTTGGAATCTTCTCATATCTACATTCTTTCTCTTGGAATCTTCTCATGTCTACATTCTTTCTCTTGGAATCTTCTCATGTTTACATTCTTTCTCTTGGAATCTTCTCATGTCTACATTCTTTCTCTTGGAATCTTCTCATGTCTACATTCTTTCTTTTTTTGTGTGTGTCAACAAGGATCCTTGGTCCACTCATTTTTATAAAGTACATAAATGATCTTTATGAATCATCAAATTTAACAACAATAAGTTTCGCTTATGACCCAATTTTTAACTTGTTTTAAAATTGTTAATATGTTTTTTTTCCAATATGAAAAATAAATTAAAAAAAAGTTTTTGTTTGGTTTAAATAGTCCAGATTGATTTAAGCTTGTCTTTAAATATAGAAAAATTGTCTAATTGAAATATTGAAAAGAACGACTTTAAATATAGAAAAAGTTAAATACACAATCTTCTATCTACCTTCAAAAAAACAGCGACATATCATACCAGGCCTTTTAATTAACAATAAATGATTATTTTAAGTGTGAAGTTTTATACTTTATGTTTGAATGTAGAGAATATTTGTCAATAAATAAATTACAGAAACTTTATAGTTTGAAACCTAAAAACGAATTTATTTCATATTTTGATAAAAATCTTTAATATTTTTTATTAAAATATGATTAAAATAAAAAATATCTTTAATATTTTTTATTATTATACTTTAATAAAATCTTTAACTCTTTTTGAATCATTTTTCTATATTGTTTTTGTTTATTTATTTTTAATTGTTTTTGTATATTGTTTTTGTTTATTTATTTTTAATTGTTTTTGTATATTGTTATTGAATATTGATTCGTTTAACAGTTTATCTTGAAAAAATTTTTAAAATAAAAGTTGGAGCGAATCCAAACCATCTAGTTAGCGAATTTTAGCTTTTTAGAATTTATGATTTGTAGTTCGGCAAGCCCAAAAATCATATTACATTTTTAGGAAATTTTTCTTCGATTTTTAGTTTTATACTGTCTTTATCTATGTACTTATGAAATGATTTAAAATTCGCATCTTACCATTTATTAAGATTTTTATATCATTTTTAAATAGCCAATAACTATGAAGTTATTATAAAAGAAATTTTCTATAAATAAGAAGTATAATATTGAAATAATTATATAAAAGTTATTATACAAAATTCAAAAAGAGATCAAAAAAATTAATATTCTTTATTGCTTAGAGTAAAAGGGTGTTGAACAGTTTTTGAAGGAACTGAATTTTTTTTTTGAAGAAAAAAGCTTTTTGTTTTTTTATATTTTTTTTTAATAGAGATTTATTAAAAAACATTAGCTCTACAAAGAATAACATGTGATACCTAGAAATCCGGACAAAACTAAAAAACTTATAACTTTGAAACTAAAGGTACAATTTTATTTCCGTAAAAAGATAATTAAGGTTAAACATATGAAGTTTCAGATTTCAAAAAGTTATAAATTTATCATGCCATGTCTGCGAACTTTGTCCACTCGGCTGAAGGAAGCCTTGCCAAGTCGATGTACACGATCTTGACTGATCCGTTTTATGCAGTGATCCTGTCAGTGAGCTGGTCCACGATTTTTGCTCTCCAGCCACGATCATATACTCTTTGTTTTAGTTCTGATCAAAAGTCTTCGATTGGTTGGTGTTCAGGCACATTAGCAGGGTTGCGCTCCTTTGGCACGAATTCGATGTTATTTGCTTGGAGGAACTCCTACGTATTCTTTGCGTAATAAGATGTAGCAAGGTCAGGCCAGAAAACGATCTCGTTGTTCTTATGAACTGTTTTGATGAACGGAATCAAGCGCTTCATCAAGCACTTATGGATGTAGATATTTTGATGATCGCTTGGCCCGAAGGTGTCACCAGGTGCTTAGACAGGCCGTCGTCGGACATAACAATCCAAACAAGTACCTTTGGCTCGAACTTGGACTTGCGCTTGAGTTTAACAGCTTTTAGAGTTTTTGACGTCAAACCTGTAAAAACCAGTGTTTACAGATAGCTCTTTATTGCTCAACGAAAAATAGGACTCGTCGTTGATGATCATCTTCTTTTTCCGTAAACATCTGGCCAGGTGGGCACACTTCGGACAAACGGCTAACTTCTGTTGTGGAGTTTGATCCGGAACTTTTTTCTTCTTTTTGTATTTGATTGTTCTCTTGGTGCTAATTGTTTTTAATATGTGCTTTTAGCTGACACCATACTCACGGGCTAGCTGACGCTGGCTAACTCCGTCACAATGATAGATTCGCTGTTTCAGCATGGTGATTCGCTTTGTGTTCATCTTAATTACCACCCGTCTAGTTCCACGCTATCTTTCAGGGCCTATTTTGAGCATCTTGTGCTGCAGAATATCATACAGGGTCGACCTTGATGAGCCTTTGATCATGAAGTGTCTCAAAATCTCACTTTTCTTCATATCCGGATACAAATTGATTAACGCGTACACGCGCTTTCTTAGATTTTCCTGTTTTGAGATAATTTTCTTTGCCGTTATAAATAATTGTTTGCTAAAAGATATATTGGATTTTGTAGAGAGTTAAATTAACTAAAAAACAGCATAAGTTGCAACAATTTTGCAACACTCCTTAAACAAATTATGCTGACCGAACTTTTGTCCAAATTTCTAGGTATCACATGTTATATAAAAAACATTAGCTCTACAAAGAATAAACTTTATTTAGTTTTTTAGTTACAAACATTTTAAGTTAAAATACATGTATTCATTTATACAATGATTTTACTTTGAAAGCTAAACGTGTTAATCAGCCATACAATTAAAGTTATACAATTAAAGCAATTAAATAGATTAAGTTACATAAATGGCATGAAGTAAAAAATAATAGTCTCTACATTTTTGGGTACAGTAGAACTCATCGTCAAGCGTGTAATTTTTTATTATTTTTTTTTTTTGTTACCATGCAAAACGAACCCATCTTTGGTATTTTAGATTTTTGCCTGTAAACATTGATTATTTTCCTTTGTTGCATTTTTGTTCCAACGTTAGAGACATTCACAGGTCTCCTAACTCTGGAATTCTTTAGCTTTGTATTTCAGTTTAAACTTTAAAATGAAATTATTCTAAATTTTTCTCTCTTATTAATCACAAATATCAAACAAGCCACTCGATTAGTAATTATTATATTGCATTAACGTCACTTAAAAAATTTGATTACCAATTACAAGTAGATCACTCAGTTTCGTAAGCAGGATTTTATAATGTTACAAATTTCGCTTTCAGGCTCTGTGCAAACTTTTTTACTGTGTGTTGCCGTTTGGCAACACACAGTAAAAAACAGATAACTTCTTTTACTTTAAAATAGTATCAACTTTGTAGCGGTTTCTCTTTGATTTATCATCATTTCTTGATGTTAAAGTCACTACAACTTACGTTTGAATTTTAATTAACGTCCTAAAGTTTAATAATTTGCGTCCGTTTTTTTTTAAACTTAAAAAAAATGTGTGTAATATAGGGTTAAGTACATTCACGTTTATTCCAAATCAGGCCTGGGAACAAAATTACCCAAAAAAATTCGTTCCTTATATTCCCAACATGAGGGTAATGAGTTATTAAAAGCTTTTTTTTTAATTTAATTCCAACAACAAGTTTTCATTTTCATTAAATTCCAACAACAGGTTTTTATTTTCATTTTATAATTTATTAACGTAAAAAAGTTATGACCGTATGAAATTTTCACGCTTTCCATAATAAGGCTTGTAAAAATTTTACACGGTAACTTTTGAAAATTAAAAGATAATAAAATGAAGTCTAAAACCTGTTTTTGAAATTAAATTTAAATAATGTTTTAATAACTTATTCCTCTTATGTTTGGGGTAGGGGAGAGAACATTTTAAAGAATATTCGTTCCCAGCCTCCAATCATCGCGATTTATTTTAAAATATCTTTTGACACAAGCATAAACATACTTAAATTTAATCGATAAACTATTTACAAGTTAAATAATTTATCGATTATCTGTGGTAAGAAGTTTTTGAATTTGACTTCTGTCAGTAATTAATAAATTATGACCCTCGACACTACTTCCTATTTAAATTCCCTTTTATTTCTGTAAAAAGAACGCCATTTCTCTCTTTTTATATACTAGTACTAATCTTATCTTCTGCATATTGATATAAAAAATAAAGAACATTGCTATGAACAAAATGTTAAGCTACAGCAAAGAATGTATTGAAAATGGTGACATAATAAGATGGTTATTTAAAATGTATTCTACAAAAAGAGAGCTCAATGTTCTTAAAAAAACAGAGCAATTACAAATTAGTAGAAAATCACTTAGCAAAATTTTTTCTCATTTAACACTGTGTTTCATCCATCAGAAAATTTATATATATATATATATATATATATATATATATATATATATATATATATATATATATATATATATATATATATATATATATATATATATATATATATATATATATATATATATATATATATATATATATATATATATATATATATCACCATCACCGAGAACACGGAATATCATTAATAAAAGTGCGCATTCAAGTTCAATGTACCAAAATCGACCTTGATTGGCAAAAATAAAAGTAAAAATGCAGGTAAACATGGAAGCGGAAAACCAACAGCTTTATCAGTTAAAAATGAAAAGTTATTGATTATAATTCAATATTTTAGAGATTGGGGTTTGGTTTGACACAAGCCGATATAATTTTTATTGTTCAACATAATTTGATAAACACAAACCAAGAGCATTTATTTAAAAATGGACAACCTTCATTACAATGCTGGTAAAATTTTAAAAAGAGATGGAAAAATTATGTACTATTACGCAGAGCAGATTTGCATCAAACAGCAGTCGTATTCATATCTCTCAGTTAAGCTTAACTGAGCTTTTGTCTGCAATTTCATTACAATAATTCTAAGCAAAGAAATGACGAAAAATTCATTTAAATTTGTTTAAATAAAACTTATACTAAAATAAAACATTTATGTTTAAAAAATTAAATTAAATTTTTTTTTTTTTAATTTAAATAAAAATTTTCTTGTGACTAACGCTCCATTAGGCTTAACGGAGAGATGAGAATACGGATAATATCCGATGAAGATATACGGAGAATATCTAAAGAAGAAATACGGAGAATATCAATAAAGAAATACGGAGATATCAATAAGAAATATCAATGAAGAAATATGGAAAATAACCAATGAAATTTAAAAATAATTTTAAAAATATAAAACAAGTAAATTAAAAAACAATACGTTCCAATCATAACAATCTATACAAGATTCATAACAATCTATATCAAATTCATATCCAATCATAACAATCTATATCAGATTCAGAACAAATGGAGAAATTACAATTCATTTAGTGGTTGAAACGGTTCTTCTGACCAACAGTTAAAGCTTCCTAGATGGTGATTTTGTGTTCACTTTGTGCTTGCTACTTTTTGCTTTTTAAAATCTGGATCAACAGAATCAAAAAAACCTAAAAATCGCTCAATTACTAGATGGTCTGGATCCCCACTGTCTGTGATTATCTATTACAAGAATTTGTTGCATCTATTAACGAAGCAATCCATTTTTGGTTTATCACACTCAAACTTTACAAACTACTTTGAAGTTGTCAACAATTCAAAAGCAACAAAAAATAACCTAATTAAAATTCCGAAAATCCGACTTGAATTTGCTAAGAGTTCTTTCTATTACTCTGGTGCAAGAGTCTGTAATGATCTACCATTATAATTTAGGAAAATCAACTCGTTGACTAAATTTAAAAATAAATTAAAAATTTATTTTAAATAATGTTTTTATAACATTTATAATAACTTTATTTTATTAATTGATTAACGTAATATAGACTACTCAGAAGATGCTAGCATACCAAGTAAACAGCAAAATGTACTTCAATGTAAAAAGCGCACACATCTATGATTCTATGTTTGATGTAAAATAATTCGTATCGGTTGTGATTTTGTAACCAATATGTACTCCATAACGGTATCAATAAGGCATTGAGTTTTTCTACTCTAAAAAGTGTAGACTTGGCGTTTCCAATACTGAGTAATAGAAAGATATGTTTTTCTTTTTATTAACTTTCATATATGAATTGGTTTAATCCTCCATTTTTATTGATTTCTCATTAATTATAACTGTCACCAAATTTAGTTTAAATATTAACCTGGTCCAAAATTATTTCTTGTAAAATTAATTTTAAGAAAAAATTATTATATAAAACTTCATATTTTTTACATATTACAGAAAATAAAGTCAAACAAAATTCAATGAAAAAATATGCTTCCCATCAAAATCAAATTAAACTTATTGAATGTTGACCGTAATTAGGCTAATTTACCCTATACACACATCGTTTTTTTAAAGGAAATACGTATAATTATTTATTGTTAAATTTTTTAAATATATAGAATAAAATATATAATATTTTATGATATATTTTTGTTGTTGTTTGTTTCATTGTAGTATTTAAATATGATTTCATATTATAATTCTAAATCTTAAAAAAATTAATAAATTTTTTTAGTTTATGATCTAATAATTAGATACAAAAATAAAAAGTTAAAAAAATGTTAAAAACGAACAGTTTGTTTTTAACATTTTTTAATTTTTAATTTTTATTTTTTAATTTTCATTATACCACATTTTGTATAGAAATAAAAACATTTTTTTCGATTTCACATAGGAATTTGAAAGAAAATTTTTTTCGAACTTGCTCAGTACTGAGCAAGTTGTAAATAAATTTTCTTATTATTAATGAGCAGCCGTGGCGCAGTGGTAGCGCACTTGCCTCAAAACATGCCGACCTCTGGGCAAGTTTTGTGACATCGGTTAAGAAGGAGGCGTGAACTTCCAATTAAATGCTCATCCGCGGTGCTCTGTGATAAGACAGTAAGGACTTCTTGGGGCACCTAAATAAAAATTAAAAAAAAAATGTTATTAAAAATCTATTACTTAATAAAATGCTGGAAGTGATAATATACTGAAAGTGATTCAACAAGGGGTGGTATGAGCATATTTATTTTTATACTTTTATATTTCAGATTGTAAAGAAACAAATGAATAAATGAATAAATAAAGTATATACATATATGTTTTATTTATTTATTTAAAAAAAAGAAATTCTTTTTATCAGATTTTTCTGTGAAATATGCCCATGCAACCCCTTGTCGAATCACTTCCTGCAAATTTATCATTTTCAGCATTTTGTTAAGTAATAGATTTTTAATAATAATAATAATAAGTTATTAAGGAGACTTATTGATCTTATCACAGAGCATCGCGGTAGAACATTTAACCAAAAAGTTCACGCCTCCTTCTTTACCAATGTTGCTTATTGGGCTAGAGCCGACGTCGAACCACGAACCTCTAACCATTGCGCCATGGTTCCTCAATTTATAACTTTAAAAATAACATTGTAAAATAGATACATATTGACGAAATAAATGTTATTTACTTTCTAACGTAAATGTTTACTTTAAATGGAATCAAGTTAATATAAGTAATGTGAACCCATGTTCATGTAACAGGAATAAATTTTTATTATCAACAAAAGTTCTACTTAAAGCATAAAATAACGTTACATATACTTCAGTTAGTAAACAAAGAGACAAGAAAACTTAAAGTTTGTGGACGAGTATACAAAATACTTAATAATCGATTAATTACGTAAAAATCGTTAAAGTGAAATGTCGTAAGAAATACACTGATAGTGAGTAGAGGGGATAGGTAGAGATGAAAAATTGAACATTATCAAAAAAAATTTAACGTGAGCGTTTCTTTCTTAAAAAAATAAACTACGCAGGAGATTTAAACCAAGCTCTTTGTCTGGACTACGATTTTTTCCATCTTAAACCACTTAGCGGCAATCAACATTAATGATTTTAGCATAATGTTCTTTTAAAAGATTGTTATTTAAAGTAGAATTGTAGATTAACAAAAAAGTCGTTTTGTTGTATTATTCATTTGCCAAATATCATTAACTTATGTTATTTTAGTTTTGTCAGATTAATTTATTTTTAAGACTTTATTTAACGCGGCTTACTAAAAATGTTCAACACTTTGCTTAAAGTGGATTTATTTAAAATATTCGAAACATCACTTAAAGTAGATTTATTTAAAACACGTTTTTATAACTCTTTACAGTAAAACATCTATTAAATAAACGATTTCATTTCATTTAAAACCCATAGTTAAATTTTTATATTACAATCAAACTGTAATAAATATTTGAATGTTGGTTATGTAAAAGTTATGAATGGCCGTAGGAAATACGCCGACGATGTGGAAAGGAATTGAGTTATGATATAAAACTGAAATTTATTCTAAAACGTAATTATCAGCATCGGCGTTTTGTTTATAGCGTTATAGCGTTTAAAGCGTTTATTTCGTTTATAGCCTTATAGCGTTTATAGCGTTATAAAGTTATAATTATCCCAAAAAGTAAGCATCAGCGTTCTGTTGATAGCGAAAAATAACAGATAAAGTATATATTTCTAAACACCTGTGTTCCGGATAAATCGACTTTCTAAAGGATTACTAAAGTATAATTTTTTGTGCGTTTAAAACAACAAATATTTTGCGATGACAAATTTATATTCATAAATAGTTTGCTCTTTTTGAAAAATAGGTTTATCGTATTTAATCAAATTCTGCGCAATCAATTGAAATGTTTAAATAAAATACTATAATGTACGTATGGTATCGCAAATACTGCGATACCATACGTATTATCGCAAAGTACCTAAAAATCGTTGAGTTGAAGATTTCCGGGAACTAAAAACCATTTTTTCAAGACCAGCATCTTCTTTTAGTGAAAAGCTTTCATTGGGCTGTGAGTTGCTTGTAATTGTTGAATGCGATTCCATCTTATATTAAAAATATATATTAAAAAAACTAATTTTTTTTTACCAAAGTTGTTAATCAGCAGCAATATTATGGATATTTTGTCCAATAAATAACAAAGAAGATTAATTAAAATTGATAATTACAACTAATCATAAACTGTTATCATTATAGTATTTATTACAAATAGTTTAAAAGTATATATATATATATATATATATATATATATATATATATATATATATATATATATATATATATATATATATATGTATATATGTATAGAAATATAAATACATACATACATACATACATACGTACATACATACATACATACATACATACATACATACATACATACATACATACATACATACATACATACATACATACATACATACATACATATACACACACACTATATGTATTAAAATAGAAAATACATATAAATATAAAAAGATTTAAACGCATCTGTAAATGTTGTGCATTTTCTGTGTCCGTCTGCTTACCTTTAAACATCGGTTACCTTTAAACGTGTGACCAAGAGTTTGTTTCTTTAATAACTGAAATATTTTTACCTTGATGAAAATTTAATTAACACTAAAACTAAATCCAATTTCATTCGTCAAATCATGAAATATAAGCGTTAAGATGAAAAGAAATGGTATTTATTAAGTTTAATGAAAAGTATTTACTAAGTAAATGTAAGGAGTAAAATATAACTTAAAAGCAAAACTCGTAATCAATAAGAGGTTTTAGATATTTATGTCAAAGATCAACAATATGATTTAAATGTAATGAAGATAAAAAAACAACAATTAAGTGACATGAAATGTCATGTAACAATTACGTAACAACTTAAAAATATTTTTAAAATATAAACTATTTTACTTTCCCACAAAACGAAGGTAAGTTTCAAATGCAATTAATTACACCCAGTAAATAAATGTTTTTCTTATTGTCACATTTTATACTTTGATTTTTAGTATGTTACAATTTAAACACCTTTTCTCCTTTCTTTACCACCCCCTTTCCTCTCCCTATATTTCTAAATCAAAAAAATTATAAGGCAAAAAGTCAATATTGAAAAAAAAAATTTATATTGCTTTTATAGTTTTCGTGTAGCAACACCTATTTAAACGGAAAACAACAAAATTTAACTTCTTTTTAGATGTTATATCTTTCTTTTGCTTTCGTCATATAGTTTCCGTCATTTAGCTTTGAATTTAGAGCTGTAAATAAGTATTATAAATATCGGTCGCTTTTGATTGTTTTCAGATATAAAAACTTTATTTTAAAAACGTTTACAAGTAACCGATTTTCGATATTTCTATAAGAATATACTTAATTTTTATAAAAAGAAAAAATTCTGATTTTTTTATTTTATTTTATGCCTAATTAAAAAAAAGTTTCTATAATCAATAATTGATTATTGTATACAATAGACCTTTTCGCAACTCAACTTTTAATTCGGCGAAGTATTAAATGTTTGGTGCGATGTAAAAGTATATAAAAATTTCGAGCACAATGTCGAGCTTTGTGATAAGAGATCGTCCATAAAGTACGTACGCTTGGGGGAAGAGGGGGTCTGCAAATGGTGTATATGAGATGGGAGGGCAGAGGGTCAATTATAAAAGAAAGGAGACACTAAATTTAAAAAAATACCATAAAATGTTAGATAAATAGGTTAAAAGCGTAGGTACTTTTAGAGAGGTGGAGGGTACTCAAAAAAGCGTAACTGTGCAAAAAAAAAAAAAAAAAAAAGCAAAAATTGCAAAATGCGGGCAGGGGAGTGTTGACAAAAAAAAGCGTACGTACTTTATGGATGACCGGAATGATGGAAGACTAGAATGATGGAATGACGGAATTATGGAAGCGTACGTACTTTATGGATAACTTGTATAATTGCATAACTCTATAACTTGTATAATTGCATAACTCTATAACTTCATAACGCGTAAGAAAATTGCGTTTTGATATTGCGTAACGTATTGTAAAAAACGTATTGAAAAGAATAAATAAGATTGTTGAGTAATTGCAGTTTAATTTGTTCAGATCAACAATCAAAAAAAAAAGGGATGTTGGCAAAAGTAAATAAATGATAAAATTCTTTGCCACAAGAATTTAAAATTTTTCGGACCTCTTGAAAAAAATTTAAATTTAATTTTGTTTTTCTAAATACCCCCTAACTAAAACACTGGGGGGCAGACACTGCATTTAGCCCCTCCATTTCCTAAACGGTTTTAAAAAAACTTTTATGATAGCAACAGCGGAATTATCATTTTCTAGTCTGCAATGACTCAATCACAGTTACAAATCAACATGAAAAAGTATATCTATAAAACTGTTTAAAATACTATCGCATACAAACTATTTTTTAAATGAATGTGTGCTGGTAAAAGATGACTAATCACGTTAAAAAGATGATTAATCACATTGCGTTTGATAAATAATTGAATAAATAGTAAAATAAATTTTTATCTATTTTGCTGTAGCATATCATAATTCGAACCTAAAAGTTCTCCAAGGACCAAGGAAAATGGTTCGACTTAACGAATGTTCAACTTAAGTGAAGCCCCGTTAAGTCGGACTTTGAAAGAAATGAGATATTAGCTCGAGTTAAGGCGATTTTAACTTATTCAATGCTAAAGTATAAACATTAAATGTACACTATTATAGTAATAAAAAGTGTGAAAAAAGTTCAGTAAAAGAGGCTACATATATCCGCTTGTATTAGCTTCTCTGATAATTCTTTTTCCACAATTAAGTTTATTTGGTTTATACATTTATGAATATTGTCACTGAATTGTCACTGAATATCATGTAGCTTCGTAGTACTTTCAGGGCTTGAGGTACCTCACCCGATTGAGGGCAAGTTGGTTCGATCAAAAAATCTACATCACTATCTTTATCTTTTTCAGCTTCAAAATTTTCTTCTCCTAAAACGTCTGATATAATCTCCTCATCATTCATTATCGGCTCGGCATTGTTGACAAAATCATCCATGGACACGACATCTTTTGCTGTTGTTCCTTCAGGGAAGAACTCGGATGTATGAACAGCAAGCTCTTCTAACTGGTCTTTGAGATCCTCAAAGGGATCATTTATATTTACCAAGGCGTCAAAACACATTTTCTCTGATATTCCAGATTTAACAAAATAATTGCAAATAGTTTTGGTCTTCACCTTCCCCCAAGCAACATCAAGCATTTGCATGGTATCCATTATAGTAAATTCCGGAAGAGCGTTTTTTTTACCTATTGCATCTATTAATTTTTAAAAAGATAGTGTTCTATAATGGGCTATAAGTGACCTAATCACGCCCTGGCCCATTGGTTGGAGCTTTGAGGTAGTGTTTGGTGGTAAAAAGATTAGTTCTATTGATTCAAGATTATCAATGATTGGATGAGCTGGACAATAATCAACTAATAAAATAATTTTTAGTCCTTCCTTTATAAATTGCCGATCCATACATTTTTTCTTCTGACTGCGAGAACGGCAGTGCAAATGCTTTATATTTTTAAAGCATATGGGCGATTTAGCTTTGGCAATAACAAACATTGGCAATTTTTTCCCTAATACATTAACGGATGTCAATCCTGTAAGACGTATGTTCTGTTTTCCACCGACACATTTTATATTTTTAAAATGTAAAGATTTATTTGGTTGGAGCCGATAAAACAAACCAAATTCGTCACATTATAAATCTGGTTCAACTTATATTTTGATAAAAATATAAGTTGAACCAGATAAAAATAATTTTGAAAAATGAAAATTTGTAACGTTCGTTCTTCCAGCAAATTCCATGGCTTTAGTTTTGAGAATTAAAGCAGAGACAGTGACATCTCTGCTACGAACAGTCAGAAGCCATTTGAAAATGGCTTAATCCAAATTTGCAAATGACCTTTTCCTCATACGCTGACGGCATTAAAAATCTTTTCTTTGTTTCTCAACCAGCTAGATAAGGTGTCCTTTGGTATATTATATTTTAAAGCGACCTTTGACTTTGAGATGCCATCTAATACTTCCTTTAGTGCGTTGTATTTGACTTTAACAGTTTTTTTATTTAACTTTTGCTTAGTTGCAATTGTCGCCATGTTGCAAACTTTGAGTTTAAAAAGCAAGTATTCACGCTGTACACTTAAAAGATAATATTCAATAAAGTTTAGCAAAAAAATGCAACAAAATGTCTTTCTTAAAGTATTTTATGTTTTATATGGAATGACTTCTTAAAACAAATTTTTAATCAAGTTATTTTGATTTCATTATTTCCGATACAAAAAAATCGAGTTATCCGAAGAAATTTGCCGAAAGGGGACAATATAATGGTTTGACTTAAAAAGTTCGAGTTATCCAATGTTCGATTTAACCGGAGAATTTTGATAGTAGGGGAGAGCAGGGTTGGTTGTCACACTTTTTACATTTTAGACTACTCAGCTTTTATTTTTCATTAAATCAATGCCAAACTTTGTACAAAGGTAGTTTAACTATTTCCTGTACCTATTATAATATTTATAAGACATTGAGAGAAATATTTTTTGCTGTAAAATCGTTTATCAAAGACAACTTCTGTCTGACAACCAACTCCGCCCACGGGGTTGGTTGTCACATAGTGCGGGGTTGGTTGTCACATTCCTTAGTATGTTTGGATTATAACCAGCTCAAGTAAAACAAGTACAATATAATTTCGTTTATATAATTCTAAGAATAATCTGAAAAAAAAAAGAAAATCCTGTATACTGAAAAAAAGAAAACACAGTATACTAAAAAAGTTTTTTTGTAAAACGACACTATAAACACATTTAATTTAGCGCTATAAGTGTTTTTAAAAATTGTTTTCATAAATTGTTGGATGAAGACACAATTCACAAATAAACTGTTGTAGGCCTGGTGCACACTCTTAGTGAGCTCATTTTTGGCAAACCTGACATTGAATCCACTGTTCTTTTGATCTGCTATTAGCAAATGATTCAAAACAATGGGTACGTAGATACTCTTCATCTTCAGATAAATATAAGACTGAAGAAGTTTTGTAGAGCCTATAAAATGTTGTAGATATTTTACAAAGTTTTCTTCCTTCATCCAACCACTTGTATTGGCATCTCACGCATTTCCTGTTGGTGCTCCTATAAGGAAATGATCTATAAAGTTTTTACGAGGAAAAACAAAAAAAGGTGGAATGCTATTTCCAACAGAATTTATTGTGCATGCTAATGTTACAAGAGTTCCTCTTTCAGCTGACGTGATGGCACCAACTTGTTTTAATCCTTTTTTGGAAATAACCTTTTTAGGTCTCTGTTCAGTAGTTACAGCAGTTTCATCCATTTTCCAAATGTCATTTTGTGAGAACAAGTAGTTTTGCAAACAGTGCCACAAATTGCTAAAAAATGACGCAACATTCTGCTTATTGAAACTTGTCGCTTGACTTAAACTAGTAGCTTCAGGTTGCCTAATAGAAATATTTAAATGGGGCTTTATAAATCCTATAAACCAATCCTTACCAGCTTGTTCCTTTAGAACCCAAGAATTAGGAACTTTTATACTATTTTTAGTTGCAAGCTGGAAAGCAAGCTTTTTTTACTTCAGTAGGAGTTAAACCAAAATAAATTTCAGTTGCTCGCAACAGATAGGTCACTAGTTTTTTCTCTACTTTTTC